AAGAATGCATATGATAATAAGTCCAGACAAAAAGGCGTCAGTCGTCATATTTGTATTTCTAAAATGCTTGATAAACGAGTTTAAATGCATGTAATATTGAAAATTATGCTGTATTCAATTTGTCTTATATTTTTGTACATGGGCATTGTCGCTTATTAATACATTTTGACCTTTACTTATTACTGTTGCCTCTAGTAGTTCTCTGTGTGTTTTTTTTTATTCCAACTGATTTTTGGTTAATTTTAAGCCAGCAATAGTCATTTTCAAACAACCCAGCGTGTTGGGTCAAACATTTAAGGCAAACCAGCTGGGTTTGTCCATATTTGACCTAGCGCTGGGTTGGCAAAATAACCGAAATTGGGCTGTTTTTAAGCATTTTTAGAGCGCAGTTACACCAAAAGAGTATGCTGTCGTATTTGACGCCATACCCCAGCAAGTAATACAATTTGTAAGAGTTTATGGAAGTGATTCTTCTGAGGCAATATATGTTAAAGACAGCATGTTCCTAGGAGACGTTGATATTCTTAAACACAGCTGTACTAATAAATATAGGAATATTATAACAGGTGATACAGGGCAAAAGCTTATTGTGGACCAGTGTATTTAGAATTGGAATAAAGCTTGGCGTGTTTGTGAAATATACTCTGTAAATAATAAAGAAAAAGGCTATATTTAACATGTTTCATGGTATATGCAGCTAAAAGTGTGTTAGAGAGATTTAATCTGGATATTGATTATTCCTGTGATTTGTTTGCTCAATGGAAAAGGAGTCTATATTATCAATCTATTTTGTAATTGTGTCTACACATGGATTTTTTTATTTATTATTTTGGGGGGGGGGGAATATAATTAGAAGGAAAACAAATATTACATTCAAGTTAAATAATTTTGATATGTATGTATTATTCCATTGAATGTAATAATAATATCTTTACTTTTCTGGTACATCTTTTTATTATTTTTGGAAAATTTTACATACATTAGAAGAAGGTCAGGGTCCAAGCCAAATTTCATCCATTTTCTTCAGGAGACTTAAGGACTACTGCACCAGTTTGGAGAACATTGTTAATAAAAAAGCAAACAAGACTTGTAATTTTTTCCACGAATATACAGTTGTTGATTACTGAATAAATGGTTTGCACACTCTTGTACATTATTGTTGTGTATTTTGTTCTGGTTAATAATAAAAAAAATTAATAAAAAAAAAAAAGAAGAAGAAGAAGAAGTTTATAGTGTCGCCATAGAAATGCACAATCCTCTCGTAATTAGGCTACCTTAATTATTATGACATGCCGTGAATGCAGCATTCAGCTCATCCAACCCCAATCAAACACACCTGAACAAGCTAATCAAGGCATTTCAGATAACTAGAAAGCTACAGGCAGGTGAGTTTGATCAGTGTTGGAAATGACCTGATCTCCTTGGATCTTTAAAACCCCATTTTACAGAGGTTGATATTGCAGCAACACGTATTCGTTTTAGTTTTGTGCACGTCGCTGTCCGCTCCTTCTGACGCACCAATTCAGCGCATTTTCCAGCAGAGATCACTGTGAGATTGCAGGTTGGGAGGATGACAGCTCGAGTGTATTTCTTGTTGATTGCTGTTTTATCGTGTCTGTTCGGATACTTGAGCATAACTCCTGCTATTCCAAGATGAACCACAGGTGAGAATATCTGTTGACTTCATTACACAGCCTGAAGAAATGCAGAAATAAGGGATTTCCAGTATTTGAAAATAATTAACACCGTTTAGGAATGAGTAGTAGGTTTTAAAACCCTTTTGATTTGAAGCAGACATATGTAAAATGTGTTTGGGTTTGAGACCTATTGTGAAACCCCTGATTTACAAATGTTGAAACCACACTCCCTGGCCTCCCCTAATGATACTCTTGAATCCTCTAGTGGACGGTTTATGTCCGGCGAGGCTGATGGTCGTGCCATCCCGTCGAGGATGTTCTTCTGATAAAGACTGCCCTGGAGGACACAAATACTGTCGATTTCACTGTGGGCCTGTTTGCGTGCTGCCTGTTTTCAGTGAGTTTCAGTTAATAATGGGTCCCAAAAAAAAAAACCCAAACGAGTAACCCATTGAATTCAATTTAAGTTTTAAGCAGAGACTTTGCCTTCTGTTGTTCTCGTCTAAAGTAGGTTTGAGTTCATTCCTTAGGATAGTTTTAAGCACAGGATGGCTTTACAAAATAAAGAAGAATAATACTTGGAATATAATTCACTCTGTAGGTAAAACTTGCTATTCATGCTTTGAGTGTTTCGTGCTGTATATTGAAGTGGCATACTGTCGATATGCACAAACTAAAGCTGACCATCTGTGTCAACTCAGTGAAGCCGGGTCAATGTCCCATACCGGAGATGATTCCACTGTGTGCTGAAAGCGGTTTCCATGATGGCCAGTGTCCTGCCACACAGAAATGTTCCCCAACCACCGGTGGCTTTACATGCAGTGAACCACGTGGCCAGGGCCAGGGAAGCGGCCAGGCAAGAGGGCCAGGGAAGCGGCCAGGGAAGAGGTCAGGGTCAGGGAAGCGGTCGGGGATGTTGTCATTGAAATGGTCATGGGTATTTTGTTTGACACTTACTGGAGATCTTTTCAATTCAGTGTGTTATTCTTATGGCATGTTTTCCCTGTTTGCACACAGTTTAGAAGGGTTTTGTCCCCCACCCCACCTCAAAAACAATTGCTTGATTTAAGTGTTTTTGGTATCCTTTGGGTGTTTTTTCGCATAACTGTTTTCTGGCATCAGTGCTTTAAAGGGGTCATATGATTTGATTTCTGTTTTCCTTTCTCTTTGAAGTGTTACAAGCTCTTGGTGCAAAAATAAGATCTGTAAAGTTGCGAAGACTAAAGTCTCAAATCCAAAGAGATATTCTTTATAAAAGTTCAGAGTCAGCCACGCCTACCTAAAATGGCTCATTCCAACACGCCCCCACATACCTACCTCACTATGTGGAAATATTAGCATAATGCCGCCCGAATGTGCACGCAAAGAAAGAAGGCATGGTTTCAGGAACAGCAGTAGTGTTGATGCAGCCATGTCAGGGAGACCGGGTGTGTGTATTTCAGTGCGAAAGCAAAAGCACTTTATTTGGCCTTCCGGAAGTAGATGCAATTAGGAATCATTGGTTAAGATTTATTTACAACCGAACAGCACAACCCAGATATTCGAATTTGTGCAATGCATTTTATGGACTTTATTTATTTTTATTTTTAAAACCTAGAAGAGTACAAAGCTGGCTGTGCACAAAGGCTATTTCTAAAAAAAAAAAAAGTAAATTCCGACTTTGCTATGACAATCTGGTGCTTCTGAATCAGCGACTGTAAGTGTTTTGTTATTAGTTTAAGTATTTGCTATTGACTGTTCAAATGTGGAGTTTTGCGTGTGTGAGACAGGGTCACATCACAGGAGAGTGAACTGCCTGTCAGAAATCATAGCACGTCAGTTGTCTTAACCACGGCTTGTGTACTGCATCACTGTGTCTGTCACGTGACTCTGTTACCCTTTCGGGCTTGAACTGATGGTAAAAGTAACACCATTATTACCTGTCTTGATATTTACTTTGAAAGCTGAAGCTCGCGATTATGGTAAGGGGCTTTACATTTCTGACGTGTGCTTGTGGTTTTCGGCCAATCACAATGCACTGGGTCAGCTGGTCAATCAGTGCAGACTGCGCTTGTCAAAGGAGGGGGCTTTGTTGAATGACAGGTTTGAGAGAGGCGGGGCATAGAGGACCTACAATAATGTACAGTATTTGAAAAATGTGTTTTTTGAACATTGTCAACATATTCTGTTACACCAAATACACAAAATAATGATCTTTAAAATAGCATATGATCCCTTTAAGTTCCTCACCCTGAGACCTGGACATTTAGCAAAGTATTAGTACATTTTTACACAAAATATACCACATAACATGGGGACTCAAATGGCACCAAATGCTAGGAATAACTTTTTTTTTAATTTTTTTTTTATTGAATGATACATTTATGTAGTGCTTTTGTTTATGTACACCCAAAGCGCTTTACAATCATGTGGGGGGTCTCTCCTCAACCACCACAAGTGTGCAGCATCCCACCTGGATTATGCGACGGCAGCCACAGGACCACTGCGCCAGTGCGCTCAACACACACTGCTACAGGTGAAGAGGAGAGAGTCATAGAGCCAATCAAGTGGATGGGGATTATTAGGAGGCCATGATAGACAAGGGCCAGTGGCGGCAATTTGGCCAGGACACTGGGGTTACACCCCTACTCTTTATGAGAAGTGCCAAGGGATTTTTAATGACCACAGAGAGTCAGGGAAGCAGCTACGGTCAGGTAAGCGGCTATGGTCATAGAAGTGGTCAGGGACTATGTCAAATACAGACATTTCAGAGTTAGTTAAAAAAATAAATAAAATGACACTGCAGTTCCTCTGCAGCTGCGGGGTACAAAAAATATATACCATTTACACTAAGCAATTAGATGCTATTCACACTGTGAAAATAGCATATTTTGTTAGCAATAGATGCTATTTACACTAAGTGAAAATAGCAGTATTTTTTAGCAATAAGCTATTTTCACGAAGTGCAAATAGCGATAAATTATTTTCTTTGCAATAATTGTAGTTAAATACTGTTTATACTACTTGGTGCAAATAGTGCCAGATATCTGCACCTAACTAGCACATTATAAAACCGTATGCAATAACATATTGAGTGTAAATTATAATTTTTATTAAAATCAAATGCATGCCACTTTGGGACAATAAAGCCATCCGTACACTTAACCCTAACCTTAATCAATAAACATCTGTGAGGCACCTTATTTTCCACTTTTCCAATATTTCGTTCATTTTTTTAATTGAAAATAAATTCCTTTCCGATGTGATACGTGATTTGAAAAGGGAGAAGAACGAGTTCGGCAAAAGGCGGATTTGAACTTGGGTTGATCACGTCAAAAAAATAACTGCTAAAATTATGCCCTTTTTTACCTACGCCACTGGAGTCGTTGTATGAAAGGTGTCTTTTGTAATCTTGTGTAACCCAACCACACGTTGGTGGGCGGAGTTAGTGTAAAGTTAGTTCCCACCTGAGCACCACCTGAGTCTTCTCCCATTTCTACCAGTAATGCTTGATTCCGCTTCCTGCGTCTGCTACTGGGTTGAAGGTTACCAGGTTGAGGTCACAAATGGGTTGAAATTTGTATGATGTGTCCATTGTGTGAGTAAGATGTGTTTCATATAAGAACTGGCAACTGGACAACCTTGGAATAATGTATTGATGTGATTATTCATATAACGAGGTTTGGGCAATTCAAATTATGGGAGGGTGGTGGGAGAAGGTGCAACACCGAGTTGAAATGTTCAATAGCCCAGATGGGAAAACTGTGTGGTGCTGGAAGAGAATAATTCACGGGAGACGAGAAAATGGCGTATTTTTCCCGGGTTTAATAAAAATGCCTCAAGCACCAACACACTTGTCCACATACATGGGAATCGAGTGAGGAAAAATGTACACAAGTATCCAACTCAGGTCACACACAGAAAAGGAGGGAAATAAAATAAAGTCAGACAAAAGTCGGTAGAGCAGATTATCTCTTCACAGACACATGCTATGCTGCCACAAAACTACCGTAAATACTCTTGTGGCCGTTACACCGGGAAGAACGTAAGTGTTGACAGATGGAGAACAGCAGCCCATCGCCATCTCAGATTTCGGAGACACACCGGCATGAGAATCAGTCATTTTCGGGTTAAAAAGGATAACAGAGAACGGTTTATTACAGTTGAATTAACATGTACTTTTAAATGTTATGTTCCACAATGGCAACGTCAAACTCGAGTAGGCCTATCATATGCAGTAAACCTTTGGATGCTTCCATGCTCTTTGCTATGCTTTTTCCCTCCCAATAGTTTGCCACCAACTCTTTTTCTGCATTACAAAGAGACATGGGGATGTCCAAGCTCCCAGCTCAGTCCAATCATCATCAAGCTATTACAGATCACTCCCACACAGCGATCAGAGGACAGCTGGTTACACTGATCACCTGCTGGTGTGCAGCATGGTCTGGTTTCAACCAAAAACCAAAACCAGAACTGTCCAATCCAAACCTGTTCTGGCATTATAAGGCAGTCTGAAATGGCCCCTACAGAAAAATGGAGCAACATCAAACAAATTTGGCAGGTGCAAAAAACTAAAAAGGTTCTGTACTAATAATCAGTAAGAGAAGCTCTTCAATAGTCCCAGAACAGCATGGGGTGAAACACTATTCTGTTATTAACACTATTAGTTATTCTGACCACCCTGGAATACACAGATAATACTGCTAGCCTCTGACAAAAGACAGCCATTTACAATGTACAATGACTACAAGGAACTGTCTGTGCAGCCATCATTACAACACAGTCAATGGGGCTGAATGCTCATCAGAGCTCTTGCCATTGTTTGGCAGCCTAGGTTGTATATTTAAATGAAAGAACTTCATGAAACGCTTAATGTTCTTTGCAGGTGCACAGTTATCAAAGCAACTAGCAAATGCTAACTGAACTTGTGGCAGTTATTAGAGCATGTATCTTAATCACATGAAATACTAAAGTTATGCTACTTTCTAGTACCAAACCACAGCACAATCTACAAGGACATTAGCTGCATTTCCATCCACCTATTTTTATGTGCATTTTGGAATATCGCATAAAAAAAATGCTGGATGGAAACACCAAGATGCTCATAAATTCTAAAAATGCGCATAAAAAACATATGCGCACATTTGAGTAGGATAAACGTTTTATCCGCTAAGAAAAAATGCGCATAAACTACGATGGAAACACATTTACCAAATAAATTCCTCCATGCGCATCGAAAAAGTCATGTGACTTTGCGCAATGGGACGGGATAACTTGACTAGCAGTGGACCGGTCTCGTTCACAGCATCTATATCAGGGAAGGGCAACTGGCGGGCCCGCAATGTCTTTTAGTACAGCCCGCTGGATCATATTAGACTCGGATGATCAATTTTAAAATATTTGAAAAGTAAGTCACGTAAAGATTGCTTTCAGTTTATAATGTTAATACTATCTCCAACCAGGAGAGGTTGCTCGTTTCCAGCCGACCCCCGTATTAATTTCAGCACAGTAGGACATGAACTCTGTAAACATTCGCTAACTTTAGCAAATAATAAATGAAAAACTGACCATGAAAACAGTATTTCCAGTCAAGATGGTAAACAGATGATCTTTTTTACAAGTTCAAGGGGATACTTATATGTTTGGATTGTTTGGAAATCTGTTATTTAACCTCCTGAGACCCTGCATCCTCATATGAGGACATTATATTTTAGTGAATTTCTCTGTGACTATACATGCCACAGTTTTAAGCCTGGATGTCCTGTACAGAGCACATTCAGGGCTTTTCAGAGATACTAAATGTTTGGATGTTTCACCATGACCACTTCCTCTCCTTGGTCTTCCAAAATGTCTGATATTAATTTAGTGACACTCTTATGGAAATATGATAATTGGAAGTCATGACAT